GGCTGATTGGCTACCATGCATAGCTGCACCAGATTTTGCACTCGCCAGTTTTAGTCAAACAACCCCATTTACATGAATTGCACAAAGTGACACGTCCTTCATGTCACCATACAGCAGTGCAGTGACAAGCGGTGCCTTCCTGGGCCCTGCAAGAATGTGCAGCATGTTTCCATTTTATTGCAACTCACTGTACTGCAGCGTGAACAGGGCACAGAGACAATTCATTTCTATGTATCATAGCGATGACTGGTTTTCTTCTAGGTCACTGCACTGTGTAAATGGGCACTTAGTGCACCCTTCTCCTTCACTGCTTCCTCTGAGTTCTATGGTGTTCCTCATCTGCTGTTGGATGGCTACTTATGGTATAACTCCTGCGCAAGCTGTCCCAATGAATGTATGAAAAATATATCATCCCTGGAGTTCAGCTTTAAAGAATATGTAAACTTATCAGGAATACAAAATGTTATGTGCCTGTTGTACCATGTACTTGTATGAAAATGGATCCTGTTCTCTTTGCATTGCTTCCTTTTATGTGAAATTCCCGGTGTTTCTGTCCGTCCCTCTGCTTTCTTTTAAAAGCTAACCACACTAGGCAGGAGAACACATTTTCGTTGGTTGTCTAGCTATCCTGGGACCTCTGCCTGCTCTCCTCCAATGATCATACTTCTGCTGCCCCCCCTCCCTTCCATGCACAGCCATTCATTAGGAAGATCAGTGTATTGCTGTTGCTCCACCCTCACTTCTCGATGCAGCTGTGAACAGAGGGTATGTGACCAAAAAATAAAAAAAGGGGGGGGGGAATGTATTTAAAATAGAAAAGGGTATACATAGAAAAATTATCATAAACTGAAGGGGTTGTTTTACAAGGTGAGTGTTCACCTATACTTTAACCATGTTATGCACTTTTCCATGAGTGTTAAGACTCCAAAGCTGGACATGGATGGATTTTTTTTTTCCCGCCTGTCTGGACGAAAACAAAATGAACAGATTCCTCCATGCACACAAGCAAGGTGGATGAATGAATCCCTCTCCTGGGAAATTGTATTCTGACACAGGGCTCTCTAAAGCCACTGCTTTGCAAAAGTTTTCTATAGCTGGATCGATTTTGTTTTTTGAGCGGCCAGCTGGGTGATCAACAAAAAAGAAAATTAGAAAAAAAAAAAAAAAACTAGACTCCCATCCACACAATTGAAATGTATGGAGGAATCCTCCCCACTATGCAATTCTGAAAGCGGGAACTATCCTTGTCAGTGCTCCAGCCCCTTGGCTTCATGTTCTGATTGAGTGGAAATTTTCCAACATTCTTGTTCCAGAAAGGCTAATTGTTAGATTGACTTCTTGCTACAGTGAAAGGCCATGGATGGATTTAAATGTGTCTGGTCTCTGAATTTGGATCCATCTATGGGCAACTTGCCATTGCTATTTGACAGAAGACAATCTAATGGTTGACTTTTGTCGAATAGTGATGGCCATATATGGATGGAAATTTGTTTAATTTATGGGGAACTGGCCAAATTTGGGTCCATCTATGGCCAGCTTTAGAACAGTCAATCCAAGTTGTCAAACTAATACTGAATTTTATTATCTACTTCCCGACCATCCTATAGCAGCTTTACTGATACAGTTCGGCTGGTTTGTGCAGAATCAGGTATAGTGTATATATGTGATTCTGCATTTCATGTTGGGGTGTGTGCAAGTGCGCCCACCTCTCCACGCTGTCTGCGCCCTTCCTTGTCAATCACCTGGGTCCTGGCCAGCAATTAATGGCTGGAACCTGGCAATTGGTGGTGCAACTGCCAGGAGATAATCAGTGTATGTAAACAACACCGATCTCTCTCCTGTCAGTGGGGATGTGCTTTTTTTTTTTTTTCTCCCCCCTCTCTCCCCTATATAAAAACCAGCACATCCCCTAGTAAAACACCACACAGTACACACAATACCCCCTGGCACACAGGTAGTCTTTTGATTGCCTCAGATGTTAACCTCTTCCTGCCCAGTGTCATTAGTACAGTGACAGTGCTTCGTATTAGCACCGATCTGTATTTGTGTCACTGGAGATGTCAGTGGCAGTTAGTGTCAGAATGCCTGCCGTACTATCAGTCCCGCTATAAGTCGCTGATCGCTGCCATTACTAATATTACAAAAAACTATCTACTGTATACCATTGTTTGTAGACGCTATCATATTAATGCAAATCAATTTCATATACAGGTGAAACTCAAAAAATTAGAATATTGTGCAAAAGTTCATTTATTTCAGTAATGTAACTTAAAAGGTGAAACTAATATATTAGACTCATTACATGCAAAGCAAGATAGTTCAAGCCGTGGTTTGTCATAATGGTGATGATTATGGCTTACAGCTCATGAAAACCCCAAATCCACAATCTCAGAAAATTTGAATATTGTGAAAAGGTGCAATATTCTAGGCTCAAAGTGTCCCACTCTAATCCGCTAATTAAGCCATAACACCTGCAAAGGGTTCCTGAGCTTTTAAATGGTCTCTCAGTCTGGTTCAGTAGAAATCACAATCATGGGAAAGACTGCTGACCTGACAGTTGTGCAGAAAACCATCACTGACACCCTCCATAAGGAGGGGAAAGCCTCAAAAGGTAATTGCAATAGAAGTTGGATGTTCCTAAAGTGCTGTATCAAAGCACATTAATAGAAAGTGATGTGGAAGGGAAAAGTGTGGAGAAAAAGGTGCAAAAGCAGCAGGGATGACCACAGCCTGGAGAGGATTGTCAGGAAAAGGCCATTCAAAAGTGTTGGGGACTTAGGCTGGAGTCAGTGCATCAAGAGCCACCACACACAGACGGATCCTGGACATGGGCTTCAAATGTTGTATTCCTCTTGTCAAGCCGCTCCTGAACAACAAACAACGGCAGAAGTGTCTTACCTGGGCTAAAGAAAAACAGACCTGGTCTGTTGCTTAGTGGTCCAAAGTCCTCTTCTGATGAGGGCAACTTTTGCATCTCATTTGGAAACCAAGGACTCAGAGTATGGAGGAAGAATGGAGGGGCACACACGGCAAGATGCTTGAAGTCCAGTGTGAAGTTTCCATAGTCTGTGTTGATTTGGGGAGCCATGTCATCTGCTGGTGTTAGTCCATTGTGCTTCATTAAGTCCAGGGTCAGCGCAGCCATCTACCAGGAGATTTTGGAGCACTTCATGCTTCCTTCCGCAGACAAGCTTTATGGGGATGCTGACTTCATTTTCCAGCAGGACCTGGCACCTGCCCACACTGCCAAAAGCACCAAAACCTGGTTCAATGACTGTGGGATTACTGTGCTTGATTGGCCAGCAAACTCACCTGACCTGAACCCCATAGAGAATTTTTGGGGCATTGCCAAGAGAAAGATGAGAGACATGAGACCGAACAATGCAGAAGAGCTGAAGGCCGCTATTGAAGCATCCTGGTCTTCCATAACACCTCAGCAGTGCCACAGGCTGATAGCTTCCATGCCATGTTGCATTGAGGCAGTAATTGCTGCAAAAGGGGCCAAACCAAGTACTGAGAACATATGCATGCTTATACTTTTCAGAGGTCTGATATTGTTCTATGTACAATCGTTGTTTTATTGATTGCATGTAATATTCTGAACTCAGCGGCCAGACTTATCCACCTTACCAACCGCTCCATATCTGCCACCCCCCTCTGTCATTCCCCTCCACTGGCTTCTGATTGCCCAACTCCTTAAATTCAAACTATTACCACTGACGTACAAAGCCATTCATAACACTGCTCCGAACTACCTCACTGACCTGATACCCAAATGCCACCCAACCCGCACTCTTCGCTCCTCACAAGACCTCCTACTTTCTAGCTCCCTGGTCTCCTCCTCCCACGCCCGACTGCAGGACTTCTCCAGGACTTCCCGCATCCTCTGAAACTCACTACCCCAATCCATCAGACTGTCACCTACCCTTCTCACCTTTAGGTGCACCCTGAAAACCCATCTCTTCAGGGAAGTGTACCCCCACCCCAACAACAACAGCCAATCTCCTCCATCCCCCACAGCCACTTCCTCCTGTACCACTATCCCCTCCCTCCTAGATTGTAAACTCGAAAGAGCAGGGCCCTCTAACCCCTCGTATACTGTTTTGTTTCTGTATTGTCTCATGTACTGTCTCCCACTATATTGTACAGCGCTGAGCAAACTTTTTGGCGCTATATAAATACTGTATAATAATAATTTAATTTTCTGAGATTGTGGATTTGGGGTTTCATGCGCTGTAAGCCATGATCATCACAATTATGACAAATCACAGCTTGAACTATCTTGCTTTGCATGTAATGAGTCTATCTCATATATTAGTTTCACCTTTTAAGTTGCATTACTGAAATAAATGAACTTTTGCACGATATTCTAATTTTTTGAGTTTACCTGTACACTCATTGGGATTTTTTTTTAACCAAAGACGTCGCGGAATACATTTTGACATAAATTTATGAAATATTTTAATTAGATATCGTTTTATAGCAAAACATTAAAAATATTGTAAAACCCCCCAAAACTTTCATTTTTGCCTATATTGTAAAAAGTAGAATAAAAAAACCTGTGGTGATCAAATACCACCAAAAGAAAGCTCTATTTCTGTGACAAAAATGATATAAATGTAATTCGTATTCATTGTTGCATGAATGTGCGATTTGTGAAAGTAGCAAAAAAAAAATGAGCTGGTACTGAAGGGGGGGTCTATCTTCCAAAGGACAAGTGCTTAGAACTGTGGTGTTGGTTACACATATCGCTCCAATTACTGTAATAAAGCCCCCTAAATCCGTGTAAACCGCTCGGAGATCCGAATACATCCACCGCTCGGAGATCCGAATACATCCACCGATCTCCTGCCAAAGGTAGAATCCTCCTCGGATCTACACCGAAGTGCGCGCCTACTGCTAGGAGTACGGTGGCAGACTGGAATGCGGATGTATAGGTGTCATTGCGGTAGAAGTCCCCTCCTGTGGGTGGAGTCTCGGAGTCGTCGCTCACATCTCCGGAGGTGCTGTTTGTGCAATCAGAGCGGAGGGGATGTGATGTATGTGTCTGCCCTCAGTGCTCAGCATTGTGCGGAGCTGGTGGGGTGAGTGCGGCCAGTGCAGTGTGTGGACGGTGTGTACTGCGCTCCGGCCATGGCAGACTCTCCCCGGGAACTGACCCAGAACCCCCTCTGAAGAAGAAGATCTGGGTGCCGTATAACAATGGCCACCCTGTCCAGCACAGCGCCCAGAGGAGAGGTAATCCGGCCATACAGGCTGAGCGATGTTCATTGATCAGATGTGGGATGTCACATGGTCAGTCCTGGGAGTTCAGGAAGAGTGAGGATGACATTCACTGACAGGAGGGACATACATGACACATACTATGACTATTGACAGGTCATGGGGTCATATCAGGTGATGAACACCATTCCTTCATCAGGCGCTGAAGCTGTCCTGACCTACGAGGTTTGCTGTCCATCCATGATACAATCTGATTGTACAATCGGGACACACCGAAACCATCTAGTATCAAGTCGGGAAAGCTCTTAAAGTGATTGGAAATCCATATGTTTTAAATAACAAGCGTGTTATACTTAGCTGCTCTGTGCAAAGGTTTGCACAGAGCAGCCCCGGTCCTCCTCCTCTCAGGTCCCCCACTGAGCTTCAAACCCCTCTCCTCCCCCTGACAAGTGACTGCACACCATAGCAAGCCAATTGCTGTGAGGGCACTTATGCAGGCTCACTACAGAGTTGCGCTGTGTGTGTCTGTTGACACACAGCTCGGCCCCGCCCCTGTTCCCTCCTCACTGCGACTTCCACAGCTGTCTCTGAGCCTATGAGGAGTGAGAAAACCACTGTCCTCGTGCACAGCACTGGATCGTGATGGGGCTCAGATAAGTAGAAGGGGGGGGAGCTGCAAACAGAAGGTTTTTTACTTTACCCTAGGTTCACACCTAAGCGGTTTCCGAAGCGTTTTGCAGAAACGCACTACAGTCCATTTAACATGATTTCCTATGGGACACGTTTACATCTCAGTGTTTTCACCCGGTGCATTTTTTTTTTTTTTTTTTTTTTTTTTTTTTTTTAAAGGGTCAGGGACTTTTTTGAATGCAAAAAGTTGTGTTTTTGGTTCTATAGACTTCAGTGGAAACGCTGCAGAAAATTATGTAGTGCTTTTTAAAATCTGCCTAGCAACAAGAAAACGACAAAAATGCAATGCAGAAACTGGTCAAACGCAACCTGCCTAGGTGTGAACCTAGCCTTAATGCAGAGAATGCATTGAGGTAAAAAAATGTTTGGCCTTTAGAACCACTTTAACCGCTTTGTGCTGGCTCTTTAAGAGTTTCAGGGGCTGGGTTTTAGGGTCATGCGACCGCCATGATTTGCTGTCACGGCGGTCACATGATCGGCAAAGGTCCCGATCGCAAGGGGAGATCAGGACCTTTCTGTGAGTCACGGACCTATATGCTCGGAGCGCGCAGGGTGCGGGCTCTCGGCACATATGTGTTTTCAAACGGTACGCAAATATGTGTCCGCTCAGCGCCAAGGCCGAGGCGCCGCATATTTGTGTGCGCTCGGCGTCCAGGGGTTAAGCTGACCGTAGATGGATTGAACTGCAGCCGGGACCCAGCAAGTGCTGCAACCACAGGCAATGCAGCATAACACTTTCTCACTGCCTATTGAACACCCTCTGTAACAATCCACCCTGATCTAGTGTAGATGCGTCTTTTGGACCCTTCAGTTGCATGTTGACTAAGCTGGCCATAGATGGATCGAAATTCAGCCATTCAGTAGGGACCAGCCAAATGCTGCAGCCTCATACAATGCAACGTCTGAAAAGTGACACACCTAGATTACGCTTCAGAGGTCTACTGCTACCAAAAGTCAAATGCCATTTTGCCGCGGTTTTCAGCATTCAAGCATTCTTACAGCTTTAAAACGTCTCCAGAAACCCACTAGTTCTGGGTTTTTTCCAGGCAAAAAAATGCCCCTGCCAAAAAATGTTGATTACAGTCTGCGTGCATGGACACATAGGGTAATCTGCTGGGGGTTTACTGGCTGTAGCAAAAAACGTCAAAATCCAAAACCGCAGCTGTAAAAACATCCAGTGTGCAAGAAGGCTAAGGGCTCATGTACACGGGGCGTTTGGAAAACTCTTCTGACCGCTGGAAACTGACTGCTAGAAAATGTAGGTTAAAAAAATGTCAGTTTAGCCACGTTTGCATACCGCGTTTATGCTCATTTAGCCGCGTTTATGCGCGTTTGTGTTTTTAGAAGCCTTTTTAAAAGATAACCTCAGGAGACCTTCCCAAATGCCCAGAATGCACTGAAAATAGTAAATTAACTATTTCAGACATTTTGAAAGAAATAGTGCAGAAGCAGAGAGAGCAGTATGTGTTGAGATGACCTGTCTTTTCTGGTTGTGTTCACTATGGATCCCATCATGAGTATAATGCGGCACGTTGTACCAATTTTTTCTTTCACACGAAACCTGGAACTGACTGCCCTGGTGCAATGGGTCCATTTTAATACATGGAAAATGCTTTACATGCATTTTCGATGAAGGAAAAAGGCTCTGGACAGCTTCTGGATATGGACCTGTCAAAAAAACGCGTGTAAACGCGGTTAACCACGTTTACAAGCGCTTGGCGTTTGAAACACCGGTAAAATCTACTCCTGAATGCAATTTTGGTGCATTCAAGAAAACTACTGTAAACTCAACTGCCTGTAAACGATTCTAAACAACTGTGTGTACATGGACCCATAGGAAAACACAAAGGAGAGTTCAGGGGCTGCTGATAAAAACGTTCAACAGTTCCCGAGCGTCAGTTTAGCAGCTGCAGTGTACATGAGCCCTTACGCTCCGGGGCTCGCCATCCACTGGCTGATCACAAACTGATAAATGTATGACCAGATTTACACTACATAGTTGATAGATCTAAAGGAGATTGTACAATCATATGTTATACTGTATGGCCAACATAATGCACTCTCACACACACTGACATAAATAGGTAGACGTGTGCTTAAGTGGTGCTAGTTAACTGGTCAAACGCAGTTGGTATCTGGTTGTACAATCCCCTTTACCAATAATGGTGTTCTATGAAAGTCTACTTGAAGCAGAACTTCACCCAGCAATTTTAATGTTTTCCCAAAACTGTTACATTCAAGGCACACCATGAATGATAACCGCCACCTTGCCTTGTGCTCTCCACCAAACTGTCAGCCATCAAATGACTGCTTTCATGACTGATCACGTGTAGCACCATGGCAAATGCAGATCAAACAGAGGCTAAGATGGCAGCTTCCTTGGCTGTGAAGGATAGGAGGGGTTAGTTCCACTTTAAAGCAGAACTCTAGGAATTCTTCATTTTTTTGCTTTTTTAACTTGCATTGGTCCAGCTTGGTTACACGTAATCATATGTCACATCCAGAGGACCATTGGGAATGCAGAAATTCCTTGTAGTAGCCTGTCCTACTTGCAGTCAATGCTGGTCTCTTCCTGGTGCTGCTTGAGAAAGTTCCTGCTTGTATACTGAACACGGGGTCACTTGCTTGGCACCGTCGCCATTCAGAGAAGATGAGATTTCTGACTCCAATCAGAGGATGCTTTGTATTCGTTGAAGATAAATTACAAGACATTCCCTGAATGGAGGGAGTGAGGAGCAAGTGACCAGCACTGAATATATTTAGGATAGACTACTACTAAAGGGAATTTCAGCATCCCTACTGGCCCTATGGATGTGAGGTGAAGAACAGATGTCACCAGGCTGCACCAATGTAAGTTTAAAAACATCTCCAGAGTTCTGCTTTAAACAGTCCATTCATTGAATAATTCAACCCTCTTGCTGCATAGTTGTTGGCCAGACAAAAGGAGATTGTAATGCATGTTGTCTATCATCTGCTTATGTTTGTGAATGGAGGTGAGCTCGTGTTTGGTCTGAACTTGGATTCAGTCTGAAACCAGAAAGAAACTTCCCATCAACTGCAGCCAGGGCATTCCCCACCCTACACTGCACATAAAGGGGCAGGGATGCTGATGACCTCATATGGCCATATTAGGTCAATGATGTCACAATCATCCATGTCTCTTCGTGTACATCCAGATGTAATGCACTGGAAGCAGTTGCTTGGGCGGCAGAAGGTTGGAGTAACAACTTCCTTCCAGGTTCCTTCTGAACCCGAGCTCAGCATATTTGTGAACACCACTGTAACACATGCTATTATATTTGCTTATTGTACTAACCATTGAGTATCGTACTTGTGTGTTTGCAAAGCCACATCAGTGATTGGCCACAATCCCACAAAAAGCAGAAGTGTTTGAGTGCCAGATCTTCAGTCTGTGGACTGGGTATGGGATTGCAGGTTTGTGGCTCTGCGCTCCCGGATATTTGTTCACCTCTATTACTTGGTGTACACTTATTGAATAAATACTGATAGGGAACTGTTTTCAGGTTTTTTGTTAATGACCGGCTTAAAGTTTGTGGTGATGTTTAACAGTAGTCAATGTATGTTCTTTTTATATTGACCATAAATTATTTTAGAAGGTTGTGGAAAGCTAGTAAGTAACAGTGCCATAGCTGGTGCATGCAGGAAAGACATACGATGCATGGTCCATGTGCTAGCATTCACATATACATCAGTGCAGGCATTGCATCTCTTGCTGGTGACGCAGCAAACACATTTGGATTTTGGAAGGGGTTGGCACAGTGACAGACATATTGAGCAGACTACTCTAGCACAATCTGCAGCTTTCTTGTTGAACTGCAGATGTGATTTGCATTCAATCCTGATATTATTTATTTTTTGTGCCTCAGTTCCCAAAATAAAATGGACTTTGGCAATGAAAATGATCAGTAAACTCTCATACAGATATTTACTGTTAACTGTTTTGGCTTTTTGCAGAGCTTGCAGTCTGCAGTGATCTTAGGTAATCGCTTTCCTTGCAGGTTTACATGAGCATCATCCAGGAATGACTATAGTAATTTCAACACCCTCCACTTTGGAAATTCATCTTGCTTCAATGTGATGCAAGTTTACCATCCAATTTATTTTCATTGGTGAATTTTCTAATATTGTGTGTTCATCTGTCTTCTAAAGTGGCTTAAGCCTGTTAGTGTGCTGTAGGCAGCAATGCAGTTCAGGTCCAAATATTAAAGAGCAAAACAGTTTTTCTTTATTTTGGATCGAGTAAGAGGGGATACCCAGTCAGGTTTTTGTTTTTTGCTCTGTGACATTCCATAATTTCCTGTCCCATAACCAAGACAGGAAGTAACAAGAGATCCCTCCAAAGTGATCGATTCCCTGCTTGTCACCAAAACTAGTGTCGCCATTGGAAGACCCCCCCCCCCCCCCCCATTCCTTTCTAGGGACAGCCTTAATTTTTGAATTTTTTTTCACATCCCCTCTAGATGACGAACAGAATAGAGAAGGTACACAGACAGCAGTAAAAACTTGACAGGTGTTCTAATACTGATCCACTCTATCCAAAAGTAAAAGCATTGCCTTCAGTTATACTTTTAAGTCTTCTTATTCCTTTAAAGACACTGAAAGTACACAATCACCAGTTGATATGTCAGGAATGCAAGTACAGAAAAATACCTGTTCTTCAAGGAATCTTAACCCTTAAGCTTTCAGAGCTGTTTTTTTTTTTTTTTGCATTTTTTTTTTTTTTTTTTTTCCTCACGTTTAAAAATGTATTTATTCCTGAAGATTACACAAAAACCCCCCCAAACATTATATATTTTCTGAAAGTAGAGACCCGAGAGAATAAAATAGTGGTAGTTCCAATTTTTAATGTCACGCTATATTACTGCAGAGGTCTAGGAAATGCAAGATTTCACACAAGAACACACTAAAGTTAATTTTATGGTAATCATACGCAATAAATTATTCACAATTTTGGTAAAATATAAAAGCCGAGGTTGCACCAAGTAAACAGATATCCGTGTGCTTTAGTAAGTGCGTATATGTGGGGTAGGGTATGTCTTTTCTGGGCAACACTCAATGTATTGCATTGCAATACGTTGCTTCTTGGCTGTGCTAGCCAGGGAAAGTGACAGGTGACCTGGAAGTGACATCATACATGTCCCTTTCAGAATTGCACCCAGTTCATGCATACCGATGCGGGTGTGTATGTTAACACCCCGAAAGCGGTCTGCAAAACGTTGTGCGATGTTCAGATCACATAGGTATGAATACCCATGCAATCTGATTCTAGAGTGGGCCAAAAAAAGGGTCCTGCATCTTTTTGTGGTGTGGTGCAATTTGGAACCATACATTGTGTATGGCTCTGTCGCACCACAAACAAATCGCATGTGATTTGCACAGGAATGCGGTGCGGTTCCTGTGTGAATCACATGCAATTTACCAAACCGCATGTATGTGAACCCAGGCTTAAACCTACCAACCAAGTATTTAAGGGCCTGGCAGATTGGATACTAATATATAAGCTGCTGATTTTTGAATTTTGTACCCTGGTTGGAGTATTCTGCTGCTTTTTTGTGGCATTTTATTTCATGAACTAGTATTAACTAGTAAAATTGTATAAACTAAAGTAAAATGTGTTCAAACTGAGCTCATGGTGAATGCATACAGTACACAGGAACATACAGTACATACGAGGTTACCATCCATAAAATCCATATGTCAAGCATTCAGTGGATTCAGAGATTTGTCACTACAGCCATATATTCAGAAACAGCTGAGTGGTGAACATGTATTTCTGAAGTGCTGTTTAGTGCAGAGCCAATCAGAACCTGCTGTGTTTACATCTGAGAGCCCTCCCCTTCCTGTCACAATGAAGGAAGTGACATTTTATCAATGAAGCTTTAGGACTGAAGGGATCAGCAGCACCAGTAATTTAGGCTGTCTGTGGTCTGTATATTAACTCCTTCACCTCCCTTATCCTGTACATTAACCCTTTCATCTCCACCCTCTTACTGCATGTGATCTGTACATTAAAACGGTATTAAACCCAAAAACATTTATTGAATTGCAACTTACCAATTCTTGGATGTGATGGCTGCATTCGTTTTTTCTTTTACTTTCACCTGGTGATCTGGCCAGTAAGTCTGTTGTTTTTCAACAGAATAAGCTATCCTGTATATGTAGCGGTTAGAGGGCTGAGAGAAACCATTTACCACTGACAGGTGCCTTTTTAATGATCTGCTTTTATTTATGTAAAAAAACCTTTATCCCAAAAGGAAAAAAATGTTTGTTGTAACTGCCCATAAAGTGTTGCCTGTTTGTCTTCCAATTCTTAGTGTATCTAAATATGCTAGTGTGCACTCCTACCCCAGACTGAAAGTGGTGGTGTCTGAAGGTACCCCTGATGGGTAACTTTTTGGTTTTGAGTTTAATACTGCTTCAACCCCTTCACCACCTTTCCTATCTGTGTACTCCATATTTCAGCCACTTCATTGCCAGCACGTTTCTATATTTCCAAACTGCTTTGGCAAAACATTTCACCTTGGGGTGTCTGCTTTCCAAAAAGAGTCATTTTTGGGGGTTTAATTTTTTTACTTTTTATAACCGTAAGGGAAACCGTTTATTTAGAGTTTTTGGACTTTATATGCTCTAAATAAAAAAACCAGTGGTTATTAAATTTTAACCAAAAGAAAGCTCTGTCTATAAAAAAAAAAAACAAAATATTATTTGGGAACAGTGTTTCATGACTGGGTAATTGTTGGCCACATTCACTGGATTGAAGCTGAAAATGGCTTTGTAATGAAGGGGTATTGCAGGCTAGTACCGCATTTGGTTAAAATATTTGGCAATCCTAATTTTTTTTTTTTGTTTTTTTCTGTAAAAAAAATTGGTCCTTTTTTTTTATTATGGACAACCTTGCTAGGTTGAGCTGAGGATATAAAGTTTACATATCATAGCTGTAGAGAAAAAAAAAAAAAAAAACACCAGCGACTTATTTGGTGCCACAAACATGGCACTAAACCGCAACAGGGTACCAACTAGTTTTGGGGATGGTAAATATGCTAGTGTGGCCGCTTTTACATCCCAAATGCTATCTGGGTTTTTTTTTTCTTCTGCCAGTGGTTCTCAGTTTAGTTTTTAGGGAGTAAAATGATATTGTTCTAAAGTAGACAAACTGAGATTGAATTAGTCTTTCTCTTAATTGGAAATAAAAATGTTTTTCTTTCTAATAAAAGTCAAATGAATAAAAAAAAAAAAAAAAAAAAAAAAAAAAAAAAAGAGCTCTGACATGCTTTAATGTTTTAACTAATTTTCCATATGCATTTTCTATCTTAACCTAAAGCTAATTTTATTTATTTCTGTCCTGGCAGTATGCATGACCAATTGCCCTACGGTCATTGTGATGGTCGGTCTCCCTGCACGAGGCAAGACTTATATCTCTAAGAAACTCACCCGCTACTTGAACTGGATTGGGGTGCCAACCAAAGGTAGGTGTTAATCAGATTTTTGTTGAAGATTTGTGCAAGATGCTTTACAAGCTCTACATTGAAAACCTACTCTCAAAACCTGCTACACATACAAGCAAAAAGTACAGTTTAATTGGATATGGAATAAATGTTGAAAAATGTTCACATATGTACATTAACGCTCCTAAACCTACACGGTCATTTGTGCTGCACATGCTATATCTTAACGGTGTCTGCTAACTTTGGAAAACCATAAGAGCGGAAGGAGAAGAGGTTGTCACATAGGCCACTTTCTTGATTTAAACTATGTACAGGTCTTCCTCTATTCATCTACTTTACATTAGCTTATTTGGGATAAGCTTGTTTGTGCTTTCAGTTCATCCCACAGGAATTGATTGGCCTCAGGTGATACACAGAAATGAAACAAATACTCCTACATAGGTTGTATAAGTTTATCTGCAGCCATTTGTCCTGTACAACCTTGTAAAGAACTGAGCGTAAAAGGATTTTTGGCAGAAGCACAAAGCAGGGGGCGAGTAGCTAAAATTACATACCATAGAGCTTGGTGTAGAGAGATGATTGGGGGGGAGGGGCACACCCCTTTCAGACAACACACAGGAACAGAGCTGAGGATGTCAATCACAGGCTGTGTGCTGGACCTCTCTCCCCTATGAGCTTTTTTACTCTTGGTGTTGGGAAAATTTGTCACGTGACTAATGCAGATAGCCGAGGAACCAGGCAGCAGAGATAAATGGCACTTAGTGCTCTGACTTGAAACAAGTACACACTATATGCTTTGTTCATATTTTATGTCTGAGATTTACAACCACTTTAAATTGCCACCTTTTAAAAAATACAGATAAAAAAATCAAGGTGTGTGTTCATAATTTTTTTTTTTTTTTTCTTATGTAGCATCCAGTGGAGGAGCAAAAAGTAATTGGTGTCAATTAACAGCACTGAGGCTGCTGACATCCTATCCAAGATGACAGCAGTCTTAGGCATTTTTGATGGCTAAACATAAGTTTTCGGGGGGGGGGGGGGGGGGGGGTTCCTGGTTTTTTTTAATGGATGAATCCGTTCACTGCGATCTGTCTCAATAGAAAGACTTGAGGATGGGGCGAGCTTCCCATTCATCACACACACACACACACACACACACACACACACACACACACACACACACACACACACACACACACACACACACCACCTCCCAGCTAGCCTCAGGTTTTTACTGAGAGATGCTTACCTCCCTTCTGCAACTTCAGGATCGGTCAATTCCTCAGCTGATCCTTGGGGGCTGTACACGGACCCCACTAAGGAGGATGCAGGGCTGGCCTGTAAAGTCACTTTGGGTATTGGATCCTGCATCGGCACTCATTTTGACACATTGTGCTTTAGAGGTCCAGGGCCATTATGTGGTGACAGTGTAGCCCTTTCCCTGAAGACCCCTTAAATGACATATCCAATATGGAGAGTGAAGGCCTTGACTGGGGTCTGGCCCACTCCACTCATCTTGCACCTGACTAACTTGTTCTGGCAGTACAGAACTGCAATCTATGGACATTTTCCTGGCTTGAGCAGCCTATAGTGTCTGGCATAGAAAGTTTTGCCTTTCCTTCTCCACAGAAGCTAATGTCTAAAGTACCTCTTTGGGTCATTTTGCACCTCACGTGGCAGATCATAGGAGCAAAGGGTCCAATGAGCTTGGACTCCTTTAATCTGTGGGGGGGTTCTCTATCCAAACTGTTGACTCCTTGCCTTCCTCTGGGCGAGAGAGAGACACACTGTAGAGTATAATTCTGTGTTTCAAGGACCCAGTGGACAAAAGATTACCCTGCAACCTTTGGTTTGCCTCCATGACTGTCTACTGCACCCTTGCACTGTTCACTGGACAATAGTTGACATGAATAGGGAGAACTAATCATTTAGCAGGAGATTATCCATATGTATCCCCTGAGAACAGAGCAGAGCTAGAACTGGGGTAAGCACCTTGGTGAAAACCAGGGGGAGCATTGACAAGGAGAGGGATAGTGGTAAATTGGTAATGCTGAACACCCACAGCAAAACAGAGTGTTTGAGGAGAAAAATGTGTTCCAAACTTAGACTTGGAGCTGGAAGCCTGAGAAGGACAAGCAGAATATTTTCTATTCTCAGGAGGAGGTGGTCTAACTGCTGAAGTACAAGCCTTTTTTTTTCTGGGGGCTGGAGGTTCTCTCATCCCCTGTGATCTCCTTAATGTACTTATCCAAGCAAAAGCCGAACAGGCGGTCTCTCTCAAAGGGCATCTGATTAAGGCATGTCCTATTTGGGAGGTCCAATAACCAACCTTTTGAGGCAAAGGACTTTCCATATATGAATGAAGAGATGGCTCATACTGGATGTTTGATGAAGAGTATCTACCAAGCTACTTGTGCAGTATCATAGAGCCACAGGTAAAAGCTCCAAGTAGTGGTAAACAGAGAGATGCTGTAAGATGAAGTTATGGTCTTGAGCTGCACGCTTAAGACCACGGAAACTACAGCTGGCGCCTATCTGTATACCATGCTCCCTTACTGTGTATACTGCTCCTCTCCTGCTCCCTCCTTTCACATACACTTTAGAGTCCAGTGGCAGTGTTCTTTACACCACTGCATCAGATGCTTTGCATTGCACTTGGTGATGTAAGGCTTGAATGCAGCTGCTCGGCCATGGAAACCCATTCCATGAGGCTCTCTATGCACTGTTGTGCTAATCTGAAGACCAGATGAGGTTTGAAGGTCTTTAGCTATTGACTCTGCAGACAGTTGGTGAATTCTGCACACTGTGCAATTCAGCATGCAGTGACCCCACTCTGTCATTTTACATGGCCTACCACTTTGTGGCTGAGTTGCTGTTGTTCCCAGTTGCTTCCACTTTGTTATAATACCCCTAACATGTGACCGTGGAATGTTTTTAGTAGCAAGTAAATTTCATAGATGGACTTATATATAATATTATAATCTATATCTCCATTTTTTTTTAATTTATTTTTTTGACAAGTACAGAGTTTAAATTCCCAATGAGACAATTTGACTTTCCAAACCAAAAAGCATATTTATTTATGTGGTTTTTTTAGAACAATTTTATTACGGTTTTCAAGACCTTTTTTATGTCTCCTCCTATGTGCTTTGGATGGAGATTCAGTTCAGTAAAGAACAAAGGGCTGAGCAAGCACACATATATGCTGTGAAACCAGCAGCACAACAAGGAGAAGCCGAGAGGTGTGTTGGGGAGGGAGGATAATTGGGTGGCTGCAACACTGAATACCTAGTATGCAAAGTCAACAAGCATGGTGCACCAACAGCTGTGAGTTTTACCTTAGCCCTTGGTCTACATCATGGTAATCCAATCAAGAAGTTAATAAGGCAGTGCAAAGGGCAAGGGTTGTATGAATTTTGCAATCAAAACCATCCTGTCAAATCTTCACTTACTAAAAGCAAGAGTTGCTTCACTTTGTACATTGTTCTATCCTTATTATGATGGTTATCTGTTGTTACTCTATTTTGGTCAGAAGATCTGAGCTATATGATCCTTGGAATACGATCCACTGGAATGTATTTATCTTTATTATATACCTTTTTTTTTATATTATTTTATCTTGTCATGTTTTTATATCCCTAATACTGATTTGTAGAAAGGTGTACACTCTGTGTAATACAACATGGAAAAATCCTGTACGCAATTTAACCTTAGGGTAAGGGTAACATCTAGATTGTAATTTTGTTTGTTGTTTTAACGTAGTCATAAAGCAGAATCTGGCAAACTACAGCTGGCTTCTTACCTCGGGACATTGGATGTCATTTATTGGTGTCTGAGACAGCACTGCTCTGCACTTTCTGTAGCATGCACTTACATTATCACTTTCATTCCAAGTATTGCTTGAAAAATTACAGTTTTAAAGCTAGGTGGCTACAGGAAGTAAAAAAAAAAAAATTCAGTCACCTTGATAAACAAGGCTTATTGTTCTCAGCAGTGTACATACAGTATAACAGTAATAACAATTTTCTGTCGTCATGGGTCTGAGGAGTTAAGAGAATGCTGTAAAAATCAGGTTTGAGTGTTAAAGGGCGTTTATCAATGCTTCATTACTTAATTAATCATTGAGCAAGTATGTGGCCAGGTGTCCTAGCACTTCCCTTGCTTGTTCTGTGTCAGTGACTTAATAAAGGGCGAAGCAAGGATATAGACTCTGAGGTTGCACCTTCCAAAGACAAGTCAGCAGCTCGGCTCCCATATTTGTTGTAACCGTTTATCCTTTTCTAAAAGTAAATCTATTGATCACTTTAAATATTTTAAAACTGCAAAAAAAATGCAAAGCTGTAAAAAGGAGTTATGACTTCAGTTTCCGAAGTCTCACTTGGTCACACCATATTTGCCCTTCCATTCTTGGAAAGTATGGCCTCACTGAGGTGTTGGCAGGGGGGCTTAGCTGAAAGTGGCTGCAGAAATTGCAGAATTACGTGGGTTTTGCAACTCTAAAGTATGTGACCATAAGTTCAGGCATGCTATGTTCTGCATTACAAGGCTATGTGCCTTGAGAGAGTCTTTTTACTTCTATGTAGGTATCTATCTTTCTCTCACTCTTTCTTTCCAGGATGATGCTTCTAATAAGATTCATGCTGCACCATAGCCACTGCAGCTCCTCATGCAGCTTCTGGATCTGTGGACTCCTCAACAGCGTGTTGGGGACCATACACAGACCCCCATCAGACTGAAAATGACTTTATGGTTTGCAGAACCTTTTAACTATGACCTTGTGCATCTGCATGAATGGCTTGGCAGATGTATCTGTCCACATAAACAGGATTCTTTAGCTTAAAGTTGCATTCCAGGCTATTGCTGGCTATAACTAACTAAGAATAGGATTTAGAAGGGAGGTAGGAGCAGATTTAAGCTACCTACCCTGTAGAAGGATGCTTATACTTACCTATTCTTGGAGCACTCCAGTCACATGATCTTACCAGCAGCCGGCTTCAAGGGAGAGGAGAGAGCAGTGTCTG